AAAAAATACAGATAATAGTTTTACATTAATAGAAGAATAATTAGGTTCAGACAACCTTACTTGTCTCTTATGCGAACATTTTTCGTGTGTGGTTTTACCACGTGATCCCTAGCGTCTTGAATGCTTCAAGTCCAGAACAGCAGTATCACCTGTATGTATAGAACAAGAAATAATAAAATAATCAAATGTATTTAATTTAAACACCAACATACCTTTACGTGTTTGCGGGGTTTCAAGCCATAAGTATACCGTAATTTCCGTCTTGAAGACACTGAGGCACAATCACGGAAGATGATTCTCATTGGTCCGCTCTCATTACTCACCCTTACTTTTCTGCTGCGGGCACTCAAAATTTATTTTCGATAAATTTTGCTAATTTGTTAATCAAAACACCATATTTTCAGTATTTCATAAGGGCTCAGGTTTTAGTAGTAAAAAGGTTTACTTTTACATGCCCTTACTTTTCTGCTGAGGGCACGCAAAATTTATATTCAACCAATTTGGAATATACCGTAGATATACATTCATGTATATTACCGGAATATTTGTTTTCAACATACTAGGTATATTCACCTGCACATATACACAATATGTACATACCTGGCATGTTCATCTGCACATATACCCAATATGTACAGATATGTACATACCTAGGATATACTTTTTATAAACTTTGATGAATATACAAGCATGTATATTCGACGAACATTCATGTTAGGAATGTTCAACCATGTATATTCCCAGGATATTCCCGCAATGTTCTGTATATTTGTTGAACATTCTGGGATATTCATAGAATATCAAATGCTATCTGGGTTTTATTAATTTCCTGCCTGAGACCTCCGGTGAATCCAGCTGAAATTTCTAGATAAAGACAATTTACCACAAACGACCACTCATCATCTGAGATGGATTATGCAGAAAGACATTTTGGGTCAGGATGTCTTCCTGATCGGCCCGCCAGGGCCCAGAAAGAGAATTCTGGCCATGCAGTACATTGAGCTGACAAATAGAGAACACGAATACGTTGCCCTGAGTCGCGACACCACTGAGAGCGATCTTAAGCAGAGGAGGGAGATTGTTGGAGGAACCGCCAAATACTTTGATCAGGTTTAGATTTCAACCGCATTCAAGTGCTCTAAAAGTTGATTTGCTTTGTTCTTCAGAGCGCTGTAAAGGCTGCGATTGAGGGCAGGATTTTGGTGCTGGAGGGAGTGGAAAAGGCCGAGAGAAATGTGCTGCCGGTACTGAACAATTTGCTGGAAAATCGGGAAATGCATCTTGAAGATGGCCGGTTACTCATTCCGGCTGACCGATATGATAAGCTACTGGAGGTAATGGATAATTTGACTATGCGAATCTATTTGGAGAGTTTGCTTTAAAAAAATAGGAGCATGGTGAAAAGGAGCTGGAGAAATGGAAACTGGTTAGAGTGGATGAAAACTTCCGCGTCATTGCCTTGGGACTGCCCGTTCCGAAGTAAGCAATTTAATCCCAGGCTCAACAGTTTCTTCTGATTAACACGTAGGGCTTCTTTTGATACAGGTACCGAGGAAACCCTTTAGATCCACCTTTGAGGTCGCGGTTTCAAGCTCGGGACGTTTCAAGTTACACCTACCAGGTAAACTCCTTTGGGGATTTAAATAAACCAACACCCTTTTTCATTGTCCTAAAATTCTATAATCTTGAAGATAACGATGCTGCTGATGACAGTATTCGTCAATCGTATTGTTTTTTCCACATATTCATGAATTGTCGGTTTCTTCAACAAGATGAAACAAACAATTCCTGAAGAGGCTGAATACTCCTTAAAACAAACGCGATCTAACGGCAATTTACCGATAGTTTGCTGCTGAAAATGCTGCTACCACAATCACTGGACTTTTTAGGTAAATTTGGCATGAAAATATGCAACTGTCTTCTTTCACAATCCACTTTGCGCTCACTTGGATCATCTGCGTTATACTCTTCTTCATACGTATATTCTTCAGTGGTTGTTCGTGGTGTGAGCACATGGTAGAAGTGCTCTTCATCTGGCAGCTGGACTTCTTCACTACTGTACACGATTATCTCTTGATTGTTGCCACTTTGTTTGGGCGATTTCTTCAGCACGGAACTATCCTCCGTTTTTGGCGACTGGCTGAACACACAACATTCTGGAAGTTCTTCGCTTTGCTGATCTACAAAGCATTCCTTCTTTAACTTCGCCTGCTTTCGATCAGAATGCTTGGATAAATCCAGCCAATTCATGACTTTCTTGCTGAGTGCGTTATCAGATGAAACCTTCGGGGTGGTTTGCAAGTCTTTGGCCGCAGAGTTCAGTTTCTTCAGGCTGGGAGGCCGCAGGCCTCTGATCGCTTCGAAAGTCACTTCATTATTCAAGTTCTTGCAACTAACAAACTCTCCTCCTATTCGAGTGAAAGTTTGAGGGGCGTTCCTAGTCCGAGTTTCTTTTCCGCCGCTTTTAAACCTTCTGATCCCTGAAAGAAGCACGCGAACTGAAGACACGTTGAAGTTTACAGCCGATCCAGCGCTTCTGGTTGCTCGGTGATTAAACTGGCTGGAACTCGGCTTGGATCTTCTGGAAGAAGGCGTGTCCAGGTAATTTTCTTTGGTTTTGTCCAGAATAACGTGGTGTTGACCATCTTTCCATATAGTGCGGACATAAAGCGGTCTTCTACTGGACTCCCAATGGGTTACCATAACTCGTGGACTTTACTTTGATCTGGAAATAAAGCGCCGGTGATTATGATATATGTGAAAAATGTGCCTAAACTAGAACATATTGATAAAGCGGGAAATCGCGTGATGTTTTTTCTTCGCATAACAGCCTGAATGTTCGAGTTATATCGTACATAGATGGGCAGATACACCTTGCAGAAGTTTGTAAATATATAAATTTCATGCTTTCCTTTGGAGCTGAAGTTTTTTTCACTCAAATTCAACTTGGAATTACGTAGATTTTTTAATTATTACGAGCCTGTTAACGAAGGTTTTCTATTTTTAGCAGTCAGTTTCAGTCATTTTGTCAAGTTGAGCTTGTCCTTAGTTGATTAAAGGATGGAAATATCGCGTGATTTTCTCGAATTATATTTTAGAAGAGGCCAAGGATGAGGGTGGATTAAATAGAAATACAGTTGAGTCCGGATATAGCAAACTTGAAAAATGAACTAAAACTGGTTTGTTATATCCGGAGTTCGCTATAAGCGAATAATAATACAAAAACACGT